CAAGTCTAATGAATGAAGTCTAAAATGTATGAATATTCTGTATCGATACTATTCAATTTTTATCAGAGCTTGACTCATTTTTGTTTGCATATCAAATTGAAATTTAACGCTGATTAATAACATAATAATTCCATAAATCATATGCTGTAGATATCAGTAATCCCATGATATAGGTTATAAACACTAGTGCTTTATAAATAGACCTCGGATTTTGCATATTTTTTAATAATGAAGATATCGAAATTCTGATTGGACACAAATTCGTTTCAAAGGATTTAGAATTATTTGAAGGGTTCATATTTTTTAATTTTTTGCATATTTGCATATTTTGCATATGCACGAGATATGCAAAAAATATGCAAAATATGCAAAAAATATGCAAAATATGCAAAATATATGCAAAATATGCAAAAAATATGCAAAATATGCTAGGTCGATATGCAATAAATATGCAAAATATATGCATAAAATATGCAAAATATATGCAAAATATGCAAAAATATGCAAAATATGCAAAAATATGCATAATATGCAAACATATGCAAAATATATGCAAAATATGCAAACATATGCAAAATATGCAAACATATGCAAACATATGCAAAAATATATGCACAATATGCAAACATATGCAAAATATGCAAAATATATGCAAAATATGCAAAAATATGCAAAATATGCAAAAATATGCATAATATGCAAACATATGCAAAATATATGCAAAATATGCAAAATATGCAAACATATGCAAAATATGCAAAATATGCAAAAATATATGCACAATATGCAAAAAAATATGCACGGTGTGCTAGGTCGATATGCGAGAAATATGCAAAAAATATGAAAAATATTGGCAAAAATATGCAAAATATGAGCAACATATTTCACATATGCAATTATTTTAATCAAAAAAAAAAAAAAAAAAAAAAAAAAAAAAAAGATTTTTCATGGTAGTTTTCGAATTTGTGTGCTTTCTTTGTTTTTAACCTATAGAAATCTAATTTTGTATGTATGCGTTTCATGGTTCAACTGTTAGATTTTTGGGGCATTATGAAAAATTTGCTAAATATATGTATAAAACATGCAAACATATTTAACCGTTATATGGCGATATACTAAAACGTGGACCGATATATCCCACTTCCAATACCAAACATCCTAGGAGTAATAATAATATATGTGCAAAATTTCAAAGTTCTATCTTTAATAGTGCGACCTAGCATACCGTGCATATGTTTTGCATATATTTTGCATATTTTTGCATATTTTTGCATATTTTTGCATATTTTGCATATGTTTGCATATTTTTGCATATTTTGCATATTTTTCATATTTTTGCATATTTTGCATATTTTTGCATATTTTGCATATGTTTGCATATGTTTGCATATGTTTGCATATGTTTGCATATTTTTGCATATTTTGCATATTTTTGCATATTTTGCATATGTTTGCATATTTTGCATATATTTTGCATATTTTTGCATATTTTGCATATGTTTGCATATGTTTGCATATTTTTGCATATTTTGCATATGTTTTGCATATTTTGCATATTTTTGCATATTTTGCATATGTTTGCATATTTTGCATATTTTTGCATATTTTGCATATGTTTGCATATTTTGCATATTTTTGTATATTTTGCATATATTTTGCATATTTTTGCATATATTGCATATGTTTGCATATTTTGCATATGTTTGCATATTTTGCATATGTTTGCATATTTTTGCATATGTTTGCATATGTTTGCATATGTTTGCATATTTTGCATATATTTTGCATATTTTTGCATATTTTGCATATGTTTGCATATTTTGCATATGTTTGCATATTTTTGCATATTTTGCATATTTTTGCATATTTTGCATATGTTTGCATATTTTGCATATATTTTGCATATTTTTGCATATTTTGCATATGTTTGCATATTTTGCATATGTTTGCATATTTTTGCATATTTTGCATATGTTTTGCATATTTTGCATATTTTTGCATATTTTGCATATGTTTTATTTTGCATATTTTTGCATATTTTGCATATGTTTGCATATTTTGCATATTTTTGCATATTTTGCATATTTTTGCATATTTTGCATATCGACAATGCATATTTTGTATATTTTTTGCATATATTTAACGCATATCGACCTAGCATACCGTGCATATTTTTTGCATATTTTGCATATTTTTGCATATTTTGCATATTTTTTGCATATTTTGCATATTTTTTGCATATTTTGCATATTTTTTGCATATTTTGCATATTTTTTGCATATTTTGCATATTTTTTGCATATTTTTTGCATATATTTTGCATATTTTTTGCATATTTTTTGCATATTTTTGACATGACCCCAAATATCGATCAATTAAAGCATGAAACGCCTAAATACAAAATTTGAGTCCAATCGGATAAAGCATAAAAAATATGCAAAAATCCGAGGTCTATTTATAAATACATAGTTTGTTTTTGCTATTATCGGCAGTGTTTTGGACAAAGGTTAAATCTATATATTTTGGGAAATATACAATTAATCTATTCAAGCATGTATCTATCTTTAGTTTATTTGTAGTATCATATTACACTGTGTGACAAAAAAGCGAAATTATTTATGTGATATTTGCTCAGTTATACATAACAATACATCTCAATGAGGCCATTTGGCAGAAGTTGGACAGACGTCGCCTTAATTGAAAAAATAACAGGGCCCGATCCGAAATTTGTACAAGTGAGGTGGTCATTCAAAATACCTAAAACGCACCCGACCTTTATATTATATGCCCAGAGTTTCTTACTCTCTGAGGAATACGAAATTACAGAACTATTGTTTGGTTATTATTGTCTTTTTTTTTGAAAATTCGAATAGAAATAGCATCATGAACCCATCCCGAAAATTGACTGGGATTCTATGTGAAAACCATTGGCAAATATTTAATATTTTCTGCTAACAGCTATTTAATGATCCGAACACTCGCATTGCCGATATTGTAGCCATATAATAATTATCTTTTACCTATCTAAATTAAAATTTTTACAGGACTTTTATATGGAAGATATGTCAATATATACTCTGAAGAATCCTCTGAAGAATCATATTGAAACATTGGAGACGGAACAGATATTTAAATGAGTGTTGTGTAAAAATATTATCCAAAATACTCTGACTATTGTCCTGAAGCTCTTTCAAAAATGTGTATAGTCCTCCTAAAAATATTCTTCAAAAAGCCACACTTATTGATCAGAAAATATTCAAAAATCAGTGAGTTGAGCAGTATAGTCGGACAGAGCGACCGTATGTTAACCTAAACAACTACCACGGAATGTTAATTTTCTGCGGATCAATACTTCACGATATTTGCACCATCATGACCGATTATAGGTCAATATCTCCTCTTTCTCACCCAGGCATATTATTCCTGGGTGATTCGACCCGCTGTTTATTGACCCAGCATTATCAAAACAGTCCTTCAAATTAGTTGGCCAGATACCCTTCCCAAAGTGGATCTTTAGATGGGGTTATACCCAAAAAATTGACCTATAATTTGGTAGGAAGGTTTGATAATTCTTCTAAACGTGTTTGCAAAATACAGAATAATAGAGGTTACGGTTATAGGGGGCTATTCTGAAACATTAATCACTATTGACATTTTTTGATAGAGGAAATAAAGATTTATAACGTAAAAAATGCAAATTTGGGAGCTACCCTAAAAAGTTGATTAATATGATTCAGTTTTGGTAGGAAGCCTGAGGAAGCCTTCTGACCCTATAGAAGGCGTGGATTTTTAAAGATTATTTTTTCTGTCCCATGGAAGGCGTGGATTTTAAAAGAATATATTTCTAACCCATGGAAGGCGTGGATTTTAAAAGAATATTTTTCTGACCCATGGAAGGCGGGGATTTTAAAAGTATATTTTTCTGACCCATAGAAGGCGTGGATTTTAAAAGTATATTTTTCTGACCCATGGAAGGCGTGGATTTTAAAAGAATATTTTTCTGACCCTTTATGAGACGTGGATTTTTAAAGAAAAATTTTTTTCTGAGCCTTTAGAAGTCGTGGATTTTTAAAGAAAATTTTTTTCTAAGCCTTTAGAAGGCGTGGATTTTTTAAAGAACAATTTTTTCTGATCCTTTAGAAGGCTTGGATTTTTAAAGAAAATTATTTTCTGAGCCTTTGGATGGCGTGGATTTTCAAAGAAAATTATTTTCTGAGCCTATAGAAGGCGTGGATTTTTTAAGAAAATTATTTTCTGAGCCTTTAGAAGGCGTGGATTTTTAAAGAAAATTATTTTCTGAGCCTTTAGAAGGCGTGGATTTTTAAAGAAAATTATTTTCTGCCCCTTTAGAAGGCGTGGATTTTTAAAGAAAATTATTTTCTGAGCCTTTAGATGGCGTGGACACTTCCCAAGGTCATTCATAGCCTCGTTTTTGTTGTACAGTGTTTACAATCAAAATATATTTCCGTGAATTCCAAACACAAGTATGTGATATGATTTCGAAGTGTTCAAATGATAATTTAGCCATGATACGAACTATTGATGACAAACATGGCGATTATATTTGCACACCGCTATTATTCCACCAACATCAAACAAATAGCAAAAACCAACCAAGTCGATTAATAAAGTGTTAATCATAGTTTTTTTTTCTTCTTCTATTGTTGTTGAATGAAGTTTGGAAAATAACTTTTGTAACATATCGACGATAGGAGAACTTTACGTCATATAAACATGTTCCACAATCTTATCGGGCGGTATGATAACATAACATAAATATACCACTTTTGTGTTTGATAATCCTCAATAAATAATTGGCCCAACAAACATCGGTTCGGAACGATTCGACAAGTTATTTTATAAAGACATTTTCACGGGGAGACACCTATTTGCGAGAACACAGGTAGAAAAACAATCAAATATTTATATAACGAAAAATTCTTATTATATTTTCCGCTTAATGAAATCGATTGCAATTCCAGATCAATAAGAAAATAAATCATGGATTTCTATTATATGCCTCCGTCTCCCCCATGCCGTGCTGTGGATATGTGCGCCAAGGCTGTTGGTGTCACTTTGAACAAGAAAGTCTTGCACCTGATGGACGGTGAACATATGAATCCCGATTTCGTCAAATTGAATCCCCAACACTGCATCCCCACCATTGTCGATGATGGTTTCGTTCTATGGGAATCCCGTCCCATTCTCATCTACTTGGCTGAGAAATATGACAAGAGCGGTCTGTTGTACCCTAAAGTACCCAAAACCAAGGCCATCATCAATCAACGTTTGTACTTCGATATGAGCGTATTCTTCACCAGCTTCATGGATTACTATCGCCCCATTATGATGTTCCACCAACCACCAAATCCCGAAAAATTCAAGGAAATTGAAAAGGCCTTTGAGCTTTTGGACACCTTCTTGACTGCCAAGCCTTATGTTGCCGATACCGATACATACACCATTGCTGATATTTCGCTGCTTTCGACCATGACTAACTTCGATATGGCCGGTTTCGATTACAGCAAATATCCCAATGTGGCCAAATGGTACGCCAACTGCAAACAGGTTATCCCTGGCTATGAAGAAAATGTTATCGACTGCAACGATATGAAATATTTCAAACCCAGAAACCAGCAATGAGAGGCAAATGCAACATCAAATGCAAAAGAGAGGGAATGAGAGAAGGAAATCCATGTTTGGCTTGAAGTTACTCGCGATAGTCTATATTTTCTTATATTAAGAAGAAAAAAATATCTGTAACATGACTTTAACCTGAAAGATAAAAAATATTCTTTTAAAAATCCACGCATAGGATAGGGCTTCAAACATATTCTTTTAAAAATCCACGCATAGGATAGGTCTTCAAAAATATTCTTTTAAAAATCCACGCATAGGATAGGTCTTCAAAAATATTCTTTTAAAAATCCACGCTTAGGATAGGCCTCGAAAAATATTCATTTCAAAATTCACGCTTAGGATAGGCCTCGAAAAATATTCATTTCAAAATCCACGCTTAGGTAGGCCTCGAAAAATATTCTTTCAAAATTCACGCTTAGGATAGGCTTCGAAAAATATTCTTTCAAAATCCACGCTTAGGATAGGCCTCGAAAAATATTCATTTCAAAATCCACGCTTAGGATAGGCCTCGAAAAATATTCTTTCAAAATCCACGCTTAGGATAGGCCTCGAAAAATATTCATTTCAAAATCCACGCTTAGGATAGGCCTCGAAAAATATTCATTTCAAAATCCACGCTTAGGATAGGCCTCGAAAAATATTCATTTCAAAATCCACGCTTAGGATAGGCCTCGAAAAAAATTCATTTCAAATCCACGCTTAGGATAGACCTCGAAAAATATTCTTTTAAAAATCCACGCATAGGATAGGTCTTCAAAAATATTCTTTTAAAAATCCACGCTTAGGATAGGCCTCGAAAAATATTCATTTCAAAATCCACGCTTAGGATAGGCCTCGAAAAATATGCATTTCAAAATCCACGTTTTGAATAGGCCTCGAAAAATATTCATTTCAAAATCCACGCTTAGGTAGGCCTCGAAAAATATTCATTTCAAAATTCACGCTTAGGATAGGCTTCGAAAAATATTAATTTCAAAATCCACGCTTAGGATAGGCCTCGAAAAATATTCATTTCAAAATCCACGCTTAGGATAGGCCTCGAAAAATATTAATTTCAAAATCCACGCTTAGGATAGGCCTCGAAAAATATTCATTTCAAAATCCACGCTTAGTATAGGCCTCGAAAAATAGGCCTCGAAAAATATTCATTTCAAAATCCACGCTTAGGATAGGCCTCGAAAAATATTCATTTCAAAATCCACGCTTAGGATAGGCCTCGAAAAAAATTCATTTCAAATCCACGCTTAGGATAGACCTCGAAAAATATTCTTTTAAAAATCCACGCATAGGATAGGTCTTCAAAAATATTCTTTTAAAAATCCACGCTTAGGATAGGCCTCGAAAAATATTCATTTCAAAATTCACGCTTAGGATAGGCCTCGAAAAATATTCATTTCAAAATCCACGCTTAGGTAGGCCTCGAAAAATATTCATTTCAAAATTCACGCTTAGGATAGGCTTCGAAAAATATTAATTTCAAAATCCACGCTTAGGATAGGCCTCGAAAAATATTCTTTAAAAAATCCACGCCTCAGATAGGCCTCGAAAAATATTATTTAAAAAATCCACACCTCAGATAGGCCTGGGCCTTAGTTAAACCTCGAAAAATATTCGTTAAAAAATCCACGCCTCAGATAGGCCTCGGTCTTAGATAGGCCTCGAAAAATATTCTTTAAAAAATCCACGCCTCAGATAGGCCTCGAAAAAAATTCATTTCAAATCCACGCTTAGGATAGACCTCGAAAAAAATATTCTTTTAAAAATCCACGCATAGGATAGGTCTTCAAAAATATTCTTTTAAAAATCCACGCTTAGGATAGGCCTCGAAAAATATTCATTTCAAAATCCACGCTTAGGATAGGCCTCGAAAAATATGCATTTCAAAATCCACGTTTTGAATAGGCCTCGAAAAATATTCATTTCAAAATCCACGCTTAGGTAGGCCTCGAAAAATATTCATTTCAAAATTCACGCTTAGGATAGGCTTCGAAAAATATTCTTTCAAAATCCACGCTTAGGATAGGCCTCGAAAAATATTCATTTCAAAATCCACGCTTAGGATAGGCCTCGAAAAATATTAATTTCAAAATCCACGCTTAGGATAGGCCTTGAAAAATATTCATTTAAAAATCCACACTTAGTATATGCCTCGAAAAATATTCATTTAAAAATCCACACTTAGGATAGGCCTCGAAAAATATTATTTTAAAAATCCACGCATGGGATAGCCCTTGAAAAATATTCATTTAAAAATCCACACTTAGTATAGGCCTCGAAAAATATTCATTTCAAAATCCACGCTTAGGATAGGCCTCGAAAAATATTCATTTCAAAATTTACGCCTGGGATAGGCGTCGAAAAATATTCATTTCAAAATCCACGCTTGGGATAGGCCTCGAAAAATATTCATTTCAAAATCCACGCTTAGGATAGGCCTCGAAAAATATTCATTTCAAAATTTACGCCTGGGATAGGCGTCGAAAAATATTCATTTCAAAATCCACGCTTGGGATAGGCCTCGAAAAATATTCATTTCAAAATCCACTCTTATGATAGGCATCGAAAAATATTCATTTCAAAATCTACGCTTAGGATAGGCCTCGAAAAATATGCATTTCAAAATCCACGTTTTGAATATGCCTCGAAAAATATTCATTTCAAAATCCACGTTTTGAATATGCCTCGAAAAATATTCATTTCAAAATCCACGCTTAGGATAGGCATCGAAAAATATTCATTTCAAAATCCACGGTTAGGACAGGCCTCGAAAAATATTCATTTCAAAATCCACGCTTTGGATAGGCCTCGAAAAATATTCATTTCAAAATCCACGCTTGGGATAGGCCTCGAAAAATATTCATTTCAAAATCCACGCTTAGGATAGGCCTCGAAAAAAAATAATTTCAAAATCCACTCTTATGATAGGCATAGAAAAATATTAATTTAAAAATCCACACTTAGGATAGGCCTCGTTTAAAAATCCACGCTTGGGATAATTTAAAAATCCATCCCTATTTCGAGGATAGGTCTCGAAAAATATTATTTTATAAATCCACGCTTAAGAGAGGCCTCAAAAAATATTCTTTTAAAAATCCACTCCTATTTCAAGGATAGGCCTCAAAAAATATTAATTTAAAAATCCACGCCTATTGTGAAGATAGGCATTGAAAAATATTAATTTTAAAATCCACGCCCATTGTGAGGATAGGCCTCGAAAAAAATAATTTAAAAATCCACGCCTATTGTGAGGACAGGCCTTGAAAAATATTCTTTTAAAAATCTACACCTTCAAAAAATTTTATTTAGAAAGATATTTCTTTGTAATTTTATGTACGAACATTTTTCTCTGAGTTTAATAGAAACAAATATATATTTTTTTACAAACTAGTTTCAATTATAACCCACACAATGCCGGTATTTGTACCGCCATTCACTTAAATCTGGACACATTTTCACTTCCACATGCATTTTAAAGTGGTTCACCCTCTATTACCGATTTGAAGGTGATGATAAAAACTGTGTGGAATGTTTGAATACTGAAACAAAAAATAATTTGGGTCACTAGAGAAAATCATTCCTGACATGTGGTACTCGTCCTCCTACTCTAGTATTCTAGTTAAGGAATCAAAGTATGTAAGGAATTTTGAATGCGGGTATTAAACACATACACATAGATGTGTAAACCGACATGACAGAAGTTATATGGACAAAAAATATTAACAATATTATGGTTCAACCTATTTTGTATATTTAGTGTTTTAATGTTAACTGAACGTAATTGGCATATTTTGAAAACTCCATTCAGGTAAACACCAAAACAATTTTATGGGAAAAATGAAAAGGTTGCAGGTATAAATGGTGGTCCATGGTACAACAACACATTTCTATATGCAATTCCGTTCCGTATTCAATCTTCTATTTATGTATATATCCATTCTTTTTTGTACATCCCTAGAAGTGGTCACTATTTTTAAATTATAAATCTGATAAAATGTCAAAGTAGTACTGATTTAATTCGCATTTTGCAAATACTTCAAACGAGCTGAAAAAGACAGAAAAATTACTCCATCCCACGTAAAATCCGTAGACTTGGTACAATATAGCTAGTAAATTTAGGTATCCTGAGCAAAAAATAATCAATACATATGCATGTTTTTACATATTTCACAATATAGATTCTGATAGGTATTTTGAGGTATTCTTCGCGGTATTCTTCGGTAGTTCGGATTTATGGAAGCTGGCAGATTTATATGTCCCCATCCTTATGGCTAATGAAATATGTGCATCATCGAAATATTGGTTTTAGACCCCATGTTTCTTTGGACCAAATATGTTTCAAACAACTTTGAGTAGATTAATCAGTTCGTCCGTCTTTCTGGCAGGCTGGTGCACACGATAACACTCGAAGGGAGTAACCGATTTCATCCAAACTTTACATATCGTTATTTCTTTCAAACTTTGTTCAAATTCGGAAATTCCTGGACAATAGGATGAAAGAAAAGATCGTTTAATATTTAGGGGATGAAATGGACCAAATACTAAATTTTTGTCGGGTTTTCTGGTCGCTCCAGAGGTCGCAATAATGGCCCGAACATCGTGAAATTTTGCATGGAGAAGGGGATCCGGCCAAAGAATAAGCATGCCTGTTTTTATAAAGATCGGTCAATATTTAGCGGGTCAAATGGACCCTGAATTTTGTGTGAAAAATTACAAAATTTGTATTCTATAGCGTATATATTTACCCCTGAAGGACATAGACCCGAGAAGTTTATATTATATCCAAGACGAGTGGTTGACCTTTAAATTAAGACCAATTATATTGTTGTATGTGCTCGGATGTGGGAGTTACGCCTAAATATTTACAGGTATCTCCGTATCCGTATATTATTTTGTAACCCATTATCACTCTAGAGAGCGGAACTATAGCGCTGATCGCTTTGAAATTTTCCATGAGGTTCCAGTTATGGTCAAGGACAACGCCTATAATTTTCGGTGATGATCAGATAATAATTTTGGAATGAGGTGGACCGAAAACTTAATTTTTTGTGTTATTTTCGAGTCAATCTATAGACCATAAATGAAAGCCGAACATCACAACACAACCCACGGTGAAGGGAATTTGGACAATAGCTGTACTGAATACTCGTAATATTCAGAAAATATGTCAGTGTGAGGAAGAGGAGCTGTTTACCTCTAATCGGGCAAGAGGGTGCAAATATCACGAAATATTGCCCAGGCTCGGTATAAACCATCCGCAGAGAATTTGAGTTCCGTGGTAGTTGTGTAGGGTATCGTATGGTCGGCCCCGTCCGACTCTACTACTCCGCTTACTGGTTTTGATTTGTGTTTTCCTCTTCTTCGTTATGTCTTGTATCGTTTCTTCTTATCTACTTACGTGTTCATGTTCTGCGTCTTTAGAACAACCATACACAAGGTTAAACATTCGGTTGGGCTTGTTGTTCGTATCAACACTTGTTTGTTATATTGTATTTAGCATTAATATCGAAATAGTTTGGAAAATACATATGCGAATTTTGTAACACCAATGCAGAGGTCAGTTAGAGTGTCTGAAATAAAGAAACAATGAAATGCAACACTAGTCACAATCGAGTGAGTGGAAAGTCGGCGGTTGTTAGCAAACAGATACAGTAGTCAAGCAACATAACAAACACCATGTAATGGGAGAGAACAGACAGCTGAACAACGAATGGTGAATGTTTTTTTTTTTTTTTTTTTGTTTTGGACAGGACTACACTTTTTATGTGAGAGAGTGAGAGACAAGAAACATTATAGTATACAGTGATAAAGTACAGTGAAATAGGAAAATTGTTGTGATATGTGTGTATGATTCGGTACCTAATATCAATTTTATTGAAGTCAAAATGGGAAGATATATGTACGGATCGCGATATATTGCCTTGCCTAGGAATATATTATTAAATGGTCGGCATCGTCCTACTATTTTTCCTCCTCTCACTGGTTGTTCGTATGTTCAAATTCCTGGCCGAATTTTTCAACCTAAGTGTGTGAAATAGGATATTTTCTCAGATCATATTAGACAATTTACCGATAAAAGCTTCTCAATCAGAGAGTGTATGAGATTTTTTTTACTCAAAATAAAACCTGATATAGCGAACAATTTTGCATCATTAACTCAAAAATCACGATTTTTGATTTATGCCGGTCTTACAGGAAATGAGCGACATAAATTTCATTTTTCTTATCAACATTTTCTGGGGGTATGTTATAAATTGACTGATTTCATTTGGCTATAAAATTAATTGTAGTACAGCTATTTTTTTAATAAATTACGAAATAAACAAATGGGAGAGGACACAACATTACTCTACACATTTTTACAATAATCTTCTCTTGCCTGTCTCTTCAGTAGATATTAAAAAATTATCTGAAAACAGTTGAGCAGTTAAAATCTTTCCTCAACACAAAATATTTAGAATTCACAATTAGTCAGTTGTGAATCATCTAACAGAGCACACATCGGATTCCTAACAAAAAGGTAGGCTAGTTAATAGAAAAAATTATAGGTGTATAGTATTCTTTTTTATCAGCACGTTCGCTGTATTAATGTTAATACATTCGTTTAATTAACTAATTGGACCCAATCATTATTACTCGAATGTGTTCAATTGTATGAAATAAGAAGAAATTGAATTTCGTAAAATTTTCGTTGCAAAATGTTTACTTCGTGAACTTATGGGTTAATAGAATATTTCAAATAAAATGCAATCTGTTCCGCTTACGGACAATATAGACTACAATGTTAAATGAAAAAAAAATAAATTCCACCAATTAATTTCAATTTATTTTTTTTCTCCAGCTATGGATTTCTATTATTTACCCCTTTCAGCACCATGTCGTTCGGTGATAATGACAGCCAAAGCTCTAGGCATAGAGCTAAACAAAAAACTTCTAAATCTCTTCGAGGGCGAACATTTAAAACCAGAATTTTTGAAAATCAATCCCCAACACACCATTCCAACGCTTGTGGATAATGGTTTCGCCCTATGGGAATCTCGTGCCATTATGATCTATTTGGTTGAGAAATATGGCAAAAAGGACGATCCCCTATATCCAAGCTGTCCCAAGAAACGTGCCCTGATCAATCAACGTCTCTATTTCGATATGGGAACTTTATATAAAAGTTATGCCGATTATGCTTATCCACAATTTCGTGAAAATAAACCTGCTGATCCTGAGTTGTTTAAGAAATTTGAAACTGCCTTGGAGTTTTTGAATACATTCTTATCGCAATCAAAATATGCTGCTGGTGATTGTCTTACTTTGGCTGATTTAGCCCTTTTGGCTTCTGTCAGTACATTTGATGTGGTCCAAATGGATCTTAAAAAATATGAACATCTATGGCGTTGGTATTCGATGCTTAAAGAAACTGCCCCCGGGGCGGATGAAAATTGGGCTGGTTGTTTGGAAATGAAAAAGTATTTTAAAAAGTGAATAAATTAGATGTTAGTTTTTTTGTGTGATTTTGAAATTGTATTCTAAATTTCTGTAGAGATATTAAAAAATATAATTATTTTGAAATATTAAAATGTTGGCCTTTCTTTTATATGGAAGATTCTTGGGATTGTACCCTACACAACTATTTTGTGAGAGTATTATAAGTGTGCCAAGAAATAAAAATAAAAGAAATATTTCGTATATTATATGAATATGGTTTAGAAGGTGTTGTTACTGTCCGGATTTCTGCATTTTATGAATTCAATTCATAAAACTTTTAATACTGGTTTTTTGCCAAAGAGTTAGGAGTTTTTTGGTGGTGGTGGCGGTTTTCTATGGCACAGAAAATATTTGTTAATTTTGTTACTCGTATCAACATTTATTTGATATATTTTTTTCAGCATTTATATCGAAATAATTTGGAAAATACATATACGAATTTTATAACACAAATACAGGGGACGGTAAGAGTGTCTGAAAAAAATAAAAACAATGGAATGAAAAGCTAGTCACAATCGAGTGGGTGGAAAGTTGGTGGTTGTTAGCAACTGAACAGTAGTCGAGTAAAAGTAACAAATTTGTTGTTTGGGGAGAGAGGAGACGATAGCAAAATACAGCCGAAAAATTAATAGTGGTTGGTTCTTGGAAGGAATACATTTATTTTGTCAAAAGGAAGAGAGAGAGAGGAAAAATGAGTAGGGCGAAGTAGGAAAATAGTTGTGATATTAATGAAATCTTTACAGTTTTTGTGGAAAAATATTGGGTTTCTCATGATTATAAGAATTTTTACATGTATTCTAAGCGAGGTACATGCACAATATGGTACAAATTAATTAAGAATGAAGTTATGAAAATATTCATAAATTTTTTTCTGTGTGTTTGTGATTTGTTACGCCACGAAGTATTGGTTCTAGAGCCACCTTTTAGTATGCCGATCATCATATCTAGACTAGCTGAAATTTTACACTAGTTTCGGTATCAGTCTCATATGACACCTATGGTTTCTGATAATGGCCGGAAAATACTTAGGGAATGAAATGGACCCAACTTTTATGTTTGCCTGGTCGCTATAGAGACCAGAGAAAGTGATATGATGTCGTTCATAATATTCGTTTAATATTTAGTGGACCAAATGGGAGAATCTTGTATGCAAAAGTACAAAATTTGTATTTAATGGCATAATATATTTGCCACACCAATTAACAGAAAAAATAGAATGGATCGAATTTCCATATGCGAAGCCTTGGCCAAACGGAATGAGATAGACACACTTCTTAAACGGATGGTGACTGGAGATGAGAAATGGATCACATACGATAACTCTGTGCGGAAACGATCGTGGTCAAAGAACGGTGAAGCACCTCAAGCGGTGTCCAAACCGGGACTTACCTCCAGGAAGGTTCTGCTATGCAGGAAGTGGATTATTTATTATGAATTGCTTCCATATGGCTAAATGCTAAATT